GGACTGCGATTTTAGAATGGAATTTACGCGATCAATAACATCGATAAAGTCAGTTTCAATTTTTTCAAAAACATTGTTCGTTTTTGGTGTGGAAGTTTGTTTCTATTTTTTGTTACAAGGGGTGTCATCAGTTTTAAGGATTTTCAAATGCTACACAGTTATAGAACTTTTTTTACCTATTCTGGTAAAAAAGAGCAGTCGCTATTGGATTTCGGGGATGCTATTAGTGGAAAACTTTTCGAATTAATCAGACAGTTCAAGATTTAGTCCTGCTTAACAGCAGCATTTACCAGTTGACTAAATAACTTTTTTACTTACTCCGTAACTTCGTTGTTTGCTGGTGATTAAAGTACTTCTAAGAGTGGTTATTTCAGAGTGGTTTGCTGGTTATTTCAAAATTTACGCTGAACAAGCGGGGCTGTAATTTGTCGTATATTTCTTTGACGAGGGAAGGGGTCCTATGATGGTGAAAGTCTGAATCAATTCGCACTCATAGAAGTTTTATCCTACACTACCGGTTTGAATTGAGAAATTACTAATCATTTTTGTATGAAACGGTAAAGAAACAGAGGATAGGTTACTAGATAGGTTGGCAAATTAGAAATTATGTAGTGACCTTAATTGTAAGACCTTTTTTAGTGTATTTATTGGATTTTTTTTGTAAGCGTAGGCTGAGTGCGTAGCGTCCCCTGTAACAAGTGTTTGCGTAGCTTTTAAAAAAATCCACAGAATGATTCTGCGGATCATGTGCAAATTAAGTTCCATTCATAATTAGACGGAACTAGAGCAGTGGCAGAAATACTTTAGATGCCTGCACCAAAATTTTTCTTTTGTTTGCTAGTTTTCCGCAGCCTCGTTCATTCCTTGCACTCTTCGTGTCATACTGCCATCAAGTACAAATATCTACAGCCTGGAATCCCTCGTAGGAACGAGAAGCATCTGTCTCTTCTTGAAGCAAGACGGTGCTTTCTTTGGTATATGGAGGGATAGACGGATAATAACAAAGTGTGTTACTATGATAGAATATTCTATTAGGAATTACCCAACGATATTTTTGCTGGCGTACCGCATGGTGTTAAACAGTGTGACCTCTACTACGGAAATAAATTTCTTCTTTAACACGGTAAAGGCAACCAGTTGTTTCTGGTAGAACTGCGGAATTTTTTAAAGACACTGTTTTGGAATCAATATCTTGCTTGCCAGGTCTACGGTAGGATGGTATGCAAGTTTAAGACAGAACTACTTGAAATGCAAGAACTTCCTTCTAATACAGACGAGTTTTGTGCCTCAAGCATGGAAACGCAAAGTTCTGTGGAAAGGTTTTTGGAGTTCGCTAATAAGACCTTCATT